AGATTCCCAGATATATATGAATTATCAAAAAAAAAAAAAAAAAAAAGGCCATGTATGGTGGCACATGTCTGTAATCTTACTACTTTGGAGGCTGATGCAGGAGGATTTCCAGGAGTTTGATGCCAGTCTTGTATATATAACACTTGTTGAAAAAAAATTAATAAGCAGCTATTTCTAGAAAGTACCTTCGTACCTCAAATGGATAATAAGCACTTGTCACATGACCAGAATTATTAGAAAGGACTGAACAAAACCAACCACTGAAAGAAAAAAATACTCAAAAGTAATGGGTTTCTTTTTTAAAATGCCCCCAAATTTCCAAGAATTTCATTTACATCTAGTATTACCTTAGCTATAATTAGTATTCATTTTACTAAGACAGCTATATCCAGCTTTATAAGACGTTAAAATCTGTACCTGGTAGAGAATGAAATAAGGAAATAGCATTTACATCCTTTAAATTATATGAATTATATCAGTATCAATCTGAAAGAGGGCATGGTAATATACATCTGCAATTTCAGCACTCAGAAGGCTGAGGCAGGAGAATCACTGAAAGTTTGAGGGCAGCCTGGGTTATATAGTGAGTTCAAGACTAATCAGAACTGCACAATGAAACCCTGTCTCAAAAAACCAACCCTTCCCCTACAAAATGATCATATGCCTACCTTTTCATGCTAATCTTAAATACCTGTATTTAATTTAATTTATTTATTTGTACCAGGCATTGAACTCAGGACTGTGTGCTTGCTAGGTAGGTGCTTATGTTGTTGAGCTATCTCCCTGGCCCTATATATATATTTTCAATTTGATTGATAGAAGTTAAAAATCACATCCAGATTGGCTGAGACCTGGCTTTCAAAATGAACATTTCATCTTTCCTTCTTGAGCCTGAAGGGGGTAGTACCTTGAGATAGTCACTGATGGACTCACCTTGCCAGTAAGATCCCCTGGTACTCTTCTAATTGTCTCATGAAGCTGGGGTTGGGCTTGGTCACTGTTCGTCTCTCCTTTACGTAGTCATAGGCTCGGTCCAGGTTCCAGCCATATTCTTTCATTGCATAGGCAATCACTGTGGAGGCTGAGCGACTCACCCCCATCTTACAGTGCACAAGACATTTAGATCCATGTTTCCTAGTTTGGAGGATTGAGTTGCAAAATAGAGAAAAGCAATACTGAGTACTTTTTAAAAAAATGTATTTTAGTACAGGGTCTCACTATACATATTGGACTCGTAGTGATTCTTCCTGTTTTTCAGCCTCCCAAGCACTGGGATTACAGGTGTGTGCCACCATGCCCAGTGTCAATCCCCTGTCAGGGCGCCCTGGGGGTGGGGCTGGCATGGCAGGCAGGGGATGAAACCCCGGCCCCTGCATCTGCCTAGGCAGGTGCTTTAATCTGCTGAGCTATCTGGCCAGCCCAATAGTGGGTACATTTTAAAAGCCAAGTTCTAGTGTCTTAAAACCCTCAGGCTAGCTTCAAGCTCAGAACAGTCCTCCTGTTTCAACCTCTCAAGTGCTGTGATTACAAACATACCCCACCTTGCCCAGCTAGCCCATTAGTCAGTTGGTTGGTCTATTGGTCTGTCTGTCTGTCTGTCTGTCTGTCTGTCTGTCTGTCTGTCTCTTTCTATACAAATGAACAAAACACCTGAATCATCTTATATCAGAGCTAATTATCTTGAATATGACCATGCTTCAATGGTGCTAATTCTGTTAACAATACAGTGTCTGACACACAATAAGCTTTCAAATATTTGCTAAATGTATGAACAAGCTATGGATTTGCTGATTACATTTGCCAGATGCTTAAGTAGGAACATTTTAAAATCTAGGAAAAAAGAACTGCTCCTCATCACTAGTATATGTAGATTCTAGAATCACTCCCAAATAGCTATTCCAATAAATGAAATTATGTATATGTAAGTTTAGGGGGAAGTCAGTTCACTGACTCACTCATTGTGTCATGATAAACTACAGGATTAGAGAATGGTTTGGAATAACTGAAACAGTCTCAAGAAGGAGGCAAGATTAGCCTCTGTAAATTAGTTTCAAATTTGATGTGATAAGGTTGGCTTGGATATGTGTCTCTGTGTGTTTATTTTAAATGCCTGAGAAATATTTGTTTTATTCATGGTACTACAAGGTTTTCACTTAAACAATACTTACGAAGTCAATGCTAGTGACTCAGATGAAAATTAAGACATATGATCTATATTCTCCCATTGACCTCTGACATTAGTGTGTCAAATTTCAGGTCTATTTCTGCAGGCACCAAAGGTGCTCAAACTTGGACAAACTTCAGTATAATGCAATTATGGCATCTACTCCCACAAAAACATCTTTTTGACATACTTTCATTTGAGATTTTTCAGAGGACAGCTTCTAACTCCTGTAATAAGAAATCTAACTCAGTTTTCACTTAATTTCAGTCTCCAAGACCATAACACAGGGTTGTTCAGAGTAAGGGCATTATATTGGGAATTGAGCTCCTGATTAGTCTAAGATAAAGAAGGTTCCTAGAACACAGCATATAAGGTGTCACTCCTCTCAGATAATGACCTATACCTGCCGATGTTTGAAAGGTGGTGCCCCCATTTGTGCCCTGGGTGTCTCATGTCTTTGTAATCTCAGCTGCAAAGAACCCTTCTTTTTATTGTAAATAGGGTTTTCCCTTGAGCCCTATCCTCTTTACATGGGACCCTGCAACTTGCCTACTCTTAATGGAACTAGACTTCCTGTACACATGGACTTTGATATAAACATAGTCTAGTCCTTGTTATTTAACCTCCCTGAACCTCATCTCTATGGACTATCCTCATCAATATAGGATAACAGCAGCTGTCTCTTTATATTTAGAAAATATTACTTAAAAGAGTGCATATAAAGTAATTCACACACGAGCGCATGTGCACACCTCCCCCCCCCGCCCATTTTTAAAAAAAATTGGGTGTGAGAGCATATACCTATAATCCCAGCACTTTGGAGGCTGAGACAGGATCATCGAGTTGAGGCCAGCCTGGGCCTTGTTTCAATAAACAAATGAACAAACAAACTCAGATACCCATAAAGTAACTGGCACAAAGTAAGCATGCCATGAGTAGTATTATTACAGTGAATAATTTAATAATAAGCTTCAAGAAAATAAAGTACTCTTTTAGCTACTGTCTACAGGTAAAGGAATAGAGGCTAGAGTATGAGGATTAAAGGTAACTAAAAGCAACAATGTTCTGACCACAAAGTTTCTCAACAAAAATGTGAACCCTTCTTCAAGGAGAACTTTAAAATAGAAGTGTTTTTCACCTACCAGTGAGTTTGAATGCAGTTCTACCTGAAGGAAGACGTAACTGACAAGCTCATCTATGATTCTATATAGTTAAGAAATTAATGGGACTGGCATAGAAATCCTCAGGGACTTAAAAAAATGCTGTATTGGCATTAATATTAAGCACTAAGTTAATACTAAATAGTTTCACTGAGTCAATTAATGGGTTGGAGATATTGTTCAGTTGCTAAGGAGCTTGCCTAGCATGTGTTAAGATCTTGGGTAAAAAAGGGGGAAACATTTCCAAAGCTCACTATGTTTCTATCTTGTCTTTAGAGAAGATGAACCGGATCCCACCTACCTAGAATAATTTGTTATGTAATTTACATACATCCCCAATGAAAACTACATTTCATGAAGAATTTCTTCTATGTCTTCCTTTTCTCTTCCCCTCCCTCCCGAACTGATTTCATTTGGTTCATGTCATTTCTATTCTTTTTTGGCAGAACCGGGGATTGAACTAAGGCCCTTGCACTTGCCAGGCAAGCGCTTATTCTACTGAGCTATCTCCCCAGCCCCATTTCTATTTCTTTAGCTGTGGTATACTATTGTCTTTAATTTTGTGCTTAATGGGAATATGATTCCAGCACAAGGTCACCTTCTAGGGGTTGCATTCACTTAAAGAAAAGCATGAGGTCACTAGTCTTTTGCCTATAACTGCAAAATCTCAGTCTCCCTTTTCCTTTATGTCATTTCACCTCTCCCCCAAATACCAAGTAAGTTATGTATAGCCCTCAGCCCCAGCCGTTGTGATACTTCAGGAACAGTTATCAGAATATATGTGTAGACTGTTACTCACTTTGCTTTAGAGATGAATTTGTAAGTATCATTCCAGTAAGCCAGGAGATCTGTTGCTTCTTCATCATATACCCGAATGTTATGATACTCAAAGACTCCTGGGAAAAAGTTATCTATCTCTCGAGTGACATTCAAGATATACCGCACCCTGTGAGGAAACCAAGGGAGAAAGTGCAGGCTAAATCAATTTCCAGCACTATTTTTCTTATTTAAAACATGCTTACTCCATGTATTAAATATAAAAATAATGAAAAAAGCCCCAAAACTAAGAGGCTGTTTAGTAAAGAAATTGTTTGACAAGGTCTGGTTATGTCTGGACATGAGAAAGTTACTAAGCAAACAGCTATGTGCCCGTTCAACATCTAAATTTGTTTCTTCTGTTTAATTTTTTGGGCAGTTCTGTGGATCAAACTTAGGGCATTCTGCCACTTAGATACATCTGTAATCTTTATTTTAAATTTTGAGACAGGATTATACTATGTTGCCCAGGCTGGCAAACTCATGATTCTCTTTCTTCAGCCCCTAGGTAGCTGATATTACGGGCATGCACCACCACACCTGGCTTCAGTTTATGAAGCTTACACAGTCTTTTTTTTTGAGACAAGGTCTTACTGTACAGTTCATGCTGGCTTTGAACTTACTATACAGTCCAGGCTGGCCTCAAAATCAGGATAATCCTCTTGCCTCAGTCTCCCAAGTGCTGGGATTATAGGCATGTCTTACCATGCCCAGCACTTATTTATTTTATTTTTAGTGGTGCCAGGGATTGAACTCAGACCTTGTGCTTGCCAGGCAGGTGCTTAAGCCACTGAGCTATCTTCCTGGCCCTCTTACTTTTTGATAGTTTCTTCATATGGCCTTGTATTTTTCTTGAAAGAATCAACCTAAAATCCTTACCATAATTTCTGTCACTAAAATTGATTGTATAAAATCAGACTATTGACATGTATCCCATGAAAAAGTAGAAATGAAAAACTTCTTGTTTTTCTAAATATAAAATTCTTAGAAATTGCTTTATTACTCTCTTTAAAATAATAAAAGACAAATGAGGCCAGGGCTGGGCGGGTGAGAGGAAAGTTGGACTTGAAACTCCTTTAGCTCTGGCTGCATTCTTGGCTGCTGCAGCAGAGGGTGTGTCTGAGGGCTCTCGCAAACTGAGTTGCACACAGGAAAAGATTTATCAAAAATTTCTTCTAAAATTTTTTCTATTATCTATCACTGTAGAATCTCAAAAATACCTTTGGTTTAATTGGCCAAAGGTTATCTTTTTTCAATGTTGTGTAGATCTAGACATCACTCAAGTTTACTCCAACAATAGAATATGAAACATATTCTGAAGAAGCTGTTTCCTTCTTAGAACCAAATGTGGGGCTTGGCAAACTGAATCTTGGAAGTAAAAAAAGTGACTTTGACTATGAAAAGAGAAAGACACAGTTAACCAACTTTCTGTGGTTAAGGTCAAATGGCTAAAATGTTTCTGGGACATAAATCAGATATTTTAACTTACAATGAAAACCCATTATTAGAAA